CACCTACATGCTCATCGCTCGTGTCTAAGGGCCATGCCCATGTCTCTTGAGGACGGTGTAGTCACATCTCCCGCCCTACTGCTTCCAAGACATCATCTTTGCATTTTTTACGGCTGCGTGGTAATCCACGGTGTGGCTGTACTTTCTTTTTTTTTAAATCTACCTATTATCCTGTACGTCAGCGTATTTCCAGCATGTCTGTTCAGAGGGTCCAGAGGCCACGACACCCCAGGAGCAGTGAACATGATTAACGCCCGGATCTCATTTCTAAATACGATTTGCCACTAAATGTAACGAAGGCTCTTTGGAGAAGTGTTTGATTGCAGAGCCAGGCAGAGAAAGGACAGGATGAGCCTGGGAGACTGTTGCATCGGAGAGTAAGGAAGAGCTTACGGCATGATGAGGGCAGTCACGGGACGGGGACCAGCCCGGCGGCCAAAGCCTAGGACAATCTGAGCATCGAGACATGACAATGACAAACTAAAACCCGCTGAGTACGATATCAATCCATGAGCCTATACGTACACGGGGAGAACGTGAAAATTCCTTCCTTAGCAGAATTTCACCGGTCCACGCAGAATTATTGATAAATCCGGAAAATCACCTTTTGGCTGCCACCATAGTGATACTTCAGGCAAGAATAACTGACCGATGCTAAAACCAGCGAGTGAAAGTTGGATGAGAAAGAAGATATTTACTACATGGCAGCCGAGTTGGTCCCCGTGAAATATTTACTGCTTACAAGGGTTAAAAGGATTGAGCACGTGCGATGTGTGTACACGGCGTATGCTCGGGACGGCCGCTTCTAAAAAAGGATGTTGCTGAGGCCATTTGTGAGACGTGAATCAAAGCTGAGTCTGAGCTCAAACTATTACGTTATTGCTGATTTCCCAAGTTTGACCATCGAACTCTCATAAGGAGAACGTCCTTATTTTTATGAAACACACGCTGGAGTATTTAGGGGTCGAGGGACATTATATCTGCAATTTATTCTCGAAGGTTCAGATTTCACGTGAACACACACAAATACATCCTGAGAGCGAGCGAGAGGCAGGCTATGAGCCACTGTGGTAAGATGTCGGCACCGGGGACCCCGGACGGGGGAAAGGCACCTGGGAATTCTTTGTGTTACTTCTGCAACTTTTCTGTAAGTTTCAAAACATCAAAGTAAAATGTCATTTTTCCAAAGGAATTCAGAAATAAAGCGGTCAGGGCGAGACAGCAGCATCGGCCGGCACCTCCTTCTGCCGTGTCCGATGGTAGAATCACCACCCGAGCGGGCCCTTGGGGGCCCAGGGAGCTGTCCGCGTCACTGAGGGAGGGGAGAGGCTTCTGGACCTTCTTCCCTGGCTTCCGCCAAATAATACTCAGCTCCCAGCCCGGCCCGGGCGGGCTTGCTGGCCCCTTCCAGGGACACGTGCATGGCAGCCACCAGAGGGCGCCCTCCCAGGGGACCGCCCGGGGTGCCAGGCCGCATAGCTCGGCGGTGTGCTGGCTGGACTTTTCAGGAAATCTGAATGCCACGCATACCTTTCCTTTCTCTGTGGGCAGGCAAGATGGGTCACGTTCCTCTGAAGTCCGCTCAGCCCTGGGCCTCAGACCTCACCAGCTGCCTGGATCCGGAAGGCTCCAGCCGGGCGGCTGCGGTCAGGACGGCTCAGGTGGGGTCTGAGGCTGGCGGGACGGTGTCACCGCATGGGCAAGCCCGGGAAACCATCACTGAGCCGGGCACAGGGTCGAGCTCATGCAGCTGTGGATTCTGGAGACCCGTGGGGACGGGCCCAGGGCCGCTGGTACGACCTCCCTTTCCTGAGCAGCCCCGGAGGGCGGGGGGAGCTGGGCGCGGGCCTGTCACCCATTGCACGCGGTCTCCCTCACAGCGCCCAGCACGAGTCCTCAGGACGGCGGCGTCTGCCTCGTCCGTCCACTCGCTCCTCCCTCCCTCGTTCACACGGCCGCTCTGACATCGGGACTCCGGGGCACAGACTGCAGTGACGGGCACAGCGGACGTCCGGCAGGCGAGCCTGGCAGGCTCCCCGAGCCGCAGACTCGGAGACGGGACCGGCCTGCGGGAGGCGAGTCAGGGCCTTGGGATCCTCGTGCGAGACAAGAATGGGAGGCGGCAGGGCTGGGCCCAGGACGGCCTCGAGGGGCAGTGCAGACTCTGCTGGACCCTTACAGAAAGTTCTGGAGCTGGGACGGCCCCTCGGAGCTGCTCTGCTTGGCACGCAGGGGGCTGACCCTGCAGCCATGATGCCCGCTCCCTTCTCAGCCGGCCTCCAGCCTGGGGGGCGGGGAGAGGCCTTGGGCAGCATCGCCGGCTGTGGCCGCAGCCCCTCTGTCTCCCAGTCCTGCCAGACAGACCCACTTCCAGTCTCTGCCGGGTCACCGCTGGGTGCCCCCACCCCCTGCTGACCTTCACCTCTGGCACCCAGGGAGGCGGAGGTGCCTCTGATCTCGGGCGGGCTCTGCAGCCCCTCGCTCGCCGTTATAACCACGCAGTCCCTGGGTCCCGTGTTTTAACGCCGGATTTGGCGGTTCTGTGCCGCCGGGAGGCCCTGCCTGATACGTAAGGTGAACGGGCTCCTTAAAAGAAGACAGGAAAGGTGTCAGCACGGAGGTTCTGCAGAGTAACCAGCCTTGAGTGCCCGACCCAAACGCCGGGGGATCAGAGCCGGGGGACCACAGCCTGCCCCTGCCGTGTTTAAGCGGGCGGACCGCCGCGGCTGCCAGGCCGTCCAGCTCCGGGGGTGGCTGCCGGCGAGCTGAGGCAGGGAGGCTGTCGGCACTGGGGAGCCCCTGGCCTGTGAGGCCCAGACGCGGAGACTCAAAATGAACATCTTAAACGCCCGAGTTCCCTCCTCCACACGCAGTACGAAGCCCTTTGCGTTTTATGAGAAAACAGACTTGTATTTGAAAAATAAACTCGAGTTGCTGGGAGAGGGAGGAGGAGCCGTGTACGATCCAGTATGGAGGTGGAGAGGAAGGACCAGAAGGTTCCCAAGGGAAATACAGGTCTCTGGAAAGCGCGCTCGAATTTCGCATGGCTCTCGGGACATCCTCTGGCACGGCCCCCGACGGGCAGCAGGGTTGAAAGGGCGGAGAGGCAGCGAGGGGACAGATCTGGCCCGTGCCAGGAGCGCGGCCGCCCACGGGGACTCTCAGTTTCTTAATTTAACTGAACAGAAAATGAAATTTCCTTGAGTGTTCGAAGCCCACGCGACCTTGGTCATGGTTGTGAGCTGGTCCCGACGCCGACCGTCCCACATCTCTGGCAAAACCCCAACATTCCTCTGGCACCCCCCACCCCCCGATCCTCTGTGCCCCCAAAGTTCCCAGCCCGGCTTGCTTCCAGCCGTGCCAGCCATCGTCCTGCTGCTCGTGACCACGGAGGGCGGGATTTTCCGCAGTGCGGTCGCGACCCCACCCCTGCGTGCCGACTGCGTGGGTCAGAGAAAGCGCCCTTTTAAAACGAGTGGGAGTCACGGAGAGCAGAACGCGCCGGCCGGGGCAGACGCTGGTCCGTGAGACACGGCTTCCAGCCGCACGCGCTGGCGCCGGACGCCGACGCGCACGGCATTCTCACCGGGGGCTGAGGTCGGAAAGGCCTGAACCACCGCCGGGAGCAGCTGCCAGGCCTCGTTCGAACACTCCGAGCCGGGCGCGGCCTTTGCCGGCTGACGTGGGCTCTCTGAGTCCTGGGGGACGCTGGCACATTTTCCTTCTTGCCTGTCCCTCAGATACCATGGCTGTGACCTAGAGTAGCCCTCGGTGTAATCAGAGTAGGTGGCTGTCCGGGTCAGCGATTTTCAACACCTTTTTTCTAGTAGGACAAAGATAACGTCCCCGTAGCCCGCGGGGCTGACTTCCGTCGGTAGCGGTCACTCGGTGTGGACTGCTGCCCACGCAGACGAGATGCTATTTCTTGCTCAGTGGGGGCCAGGTGGCAAAATGCCTGGTGTCTCAGTCCCTGAAAGCCATCGCCGCATGACCCTGGGGTTCTGGACAGATGACCGCTTCCAAAAGGTATCCGTCACATCTGGCTTAACGTTCGGAACCCCTGCTCAGTTACACAGCGAACGTGCCAGCCGCCCCCGAGTCTGCAGCCTCAGCTCTGTCCGTCACGGCCATCCCTCCAGCCCGAGCGCCTCTGCCAGGGCCGCCCCTGAAAGCCGGCATCAGCCTGAGGGAGGAGGGGGGCCCTGGGCACCGGGATTCTGCCCCTTCACAGTCGTGACGACGGCCAGCCCCTTCCCTGCAAGTTCCCGCCACTTCCCAGCCACCCCTCACCCGGATGCACGTGCAGAGCCAGACGTGAGCCCAGCCCGGGGCCTGGGCCCTTCCCAGGGAGGGCAGTGCTCAGAGGCCTTGGGCTCGGGCGGCTCAAGGCTCTGCCCGGTGCTGGGGACCAGAGTGGGGGAGCACGCAGTAGGCACGTGACATGGCCAGCACACGACTTCCCACGAGGCAGAAGCAGAGAAGCACCCACGAGGAACACAGCCTGTGCGGGCACCTGAAATGACGGCAGACCGCCCCAGGCAGGTACCATCAGTAAGGCTCTCAGGTGAGGCAGGGCGCCAGGAGGAGGAGGAGGAGGTGGGAGACCGTCCTAACTGATCCCCGGGTCATTCCAGGGGCCCCGCTGGCCCACGTCCACCTCTATCGTGTCAGTGGCCAGACTGATCCGTCCAGACTGCAAGTCATTCCCTCAGCAACACCACGTGATGGCTTCCGGGGTCACTCAGTGAAGTCCCAAACCCTGCCCTGGCCTGCGAGGCCCCTAGCCCTGCCCCCCAAAGCCCGCCTCCCCACGACCCCACAACCCCGATCCGCCACCCCACCCCGCTCCCGGCCTGAGGGCTCAGAGGTGCTGCTGCTCAGGACGCCTGCACCCTCCCGCGTCTACTAGGCCGGCCGGGCGCCCCACACCCGCCTGGCCGTCCTATCAGAGCCCAGATGCCTCACACGGGGACCACGTTTCCTGGCGGCCCCGTGCAAAGCAGCCCTCCTCCCACCCCACCCCTGGGCGCACGCGACACGCATTCCTCACTGTCCCCCTCCCACAGGCGTACCCCCAGGGCAGGAACTCGCTTGTCCCTGGCTGTGTCCCCAGAGCCTGGCACGCTGGGCAGACGCGGTCAACATGAGACGACCCCCAGACGGCCGGGCTGGTCAGGGGGAGGATGACGTGTCTGCTCTGGGAAGTCAGCTTTCTGCTGTTTGGGGGGGCGGGGGTGGTGCATGGGAAGGCTAACGTCCCAACTCTGTCTCTGTCCCCGGCGCAGGGCCAACATGTCCCTGCGTGAGGCTCAGAATGTGAGGCTATGTCGCCCCCTTGTGGTCACTTGGCCACAAAGCCAGAAAAAACGCGAGGCTTGCTGAGCCCGGCCGGGCTGGGCCGCCCCCTCTGAAACCCGCCGCGTCTGGAGGTTGCCAGCCCCCCTCCGCACGCGTGGCTCGTAGACGCGTCACCCTAATCCCTTCCTTTGTTGTCCTACGGCATTCTTCCTACGTGTCTGTCTTTTCCATCTTACAAAACACTAGTCGCATGAGATTAGCCCCTCCCTACTCCGCTGTGACTTTACCTCAACTAATGACACCTGCAGAGACTTTATTTCCCAATCAGGTCACATTCAGAGACGCCAGGGCTTAGGACGTTGCATATATCTTTTTTTGAGGGGACACGATTCAACTCGTAAGAGTCGCTGTAAGGATGAAAGGAAACTGTGTATTTTTGTCACCTACCTACTAACAGTGCCGGAAATAACGTAGCTTGCCTACTTCCCCAGGGAGCGCTGGCCTGAGAGCTCCGTCATGATTCCCGTACGACCCTTGCAGTCCTGACCTGATAACCGGACACTGACGGTGGCGACGGCGGCATCGTATGAAGGGGTCAGGTGACTTTGTGACATCGACAGGACGAGTCACTCGATACTGTTTTTGAGCGCCTACTGTGTGCAGAGCCCACAGGGAACAAACGCACCTCCAGGAACTGTGATAAGCAGCGATTTCAGACTCAATTTCGTCTCCCTTTTCTGTGACGCCACATACACGGCCGCATGATAGAGCTCAAACGAAACATTCGGCCCACACGAGAGTCTTCTAGAAAGGACGCAGAGACGTGTCATCAAGTGAATGTGGGCGGAGGGGGGAAGCTGCAGAGCTGTGTCTTTGCTCCTTCAACGTCACTATGGCTGCACAACTGTACTTATCAAAATCCGGTTCCTTTCCAAGGAGCGGGGCTTGCAAGACGACTCTCGTCAAAGAGAGATGCTGCAGCAGACAATGGCAGGGTGGCGTGTAGGCGGGAAGTGAGGCCACGGCAGGATTCGCTTTCCAGAGACCCGTCTCCTTCCAGGGGTCAGCAGTGGTCTCCCGGACCTGTCACTCAGGGTTGTCTGCATGTGACTCTCTTCCAAACCACGTTTCCTGGCTGCGGCCCAGCGGCTCGTCAGCACCTGTCTGCAGGTACCCCACCTGGAAAGATGGAAGCACCCGGGGGGGGCCGAGAAGGAGCTGAGCAAGGTTGCGTCTCTGTGTCTGTGCTGAGACTCTGCTGGCCACAGGCTAAGCCTCGGAGCCACAATTATTCAGAGCAGAAGGAGCAGGCCCGCGGGTTCCTTAAGAATCTGACACCGGGATGTGTGAGAAAGGCCGGGGTCCGGCGGGCGGTGTGGCGGGACAGCCGGGCCGGCGAGAAAGACTGAGACGCTCCTCAGCCAGTCAGCAAACGGCCACGGCCGAGACCTCCAACTGCCCCTCCTAGGACACCCAGCAAGCCCTCCATCGACATGATGGTGACCCCCAAAAGCAACCTCCAAGACAAAGGTGCCTCTGGTGCCAAAGACAAAACCCCGTTTTGTCCCCAGTGGCCCGGTGCTCGGCCTTCCTGGCTGGCAAGCATTCTGAGTAGCGTCGCAGGTTGGGTGGCCACGGAGGGGTGTGGGGAGAAACAGACTCCAACAGCACCTATGCCTCCATGCTGACCTACGGCCTGTCCATGTATTTAACGAGTCAGGCGTCAGCACCTACTCTCTTGGGGGTAGGCAGTATGTTCCCCAGCTCCTCACAGCCCTATTTTGCTCACAGGGACTCAAAGGACCCTGGAGAGAACTCGCAGAGACCCCAAGCTGGAGTCTGTGGCTGGAGCTGGAGCGTTTGTTTTTCACGTTTACGTTTTCGAGGTGGTCATCTTTACGCGGTCAGTTTTTGGTTCGTCTTTCCTGTGTTGTCCTTGAGTTTTGTCGTGCTTAGCCGACCCGCTGACACCTCCTGGTGCGTCCAGGCAGGTGAGTGCCTTGTGGGAGAAGCAGCAGCAGCCCGAGTCTGAGAAAGCCTCGGCCAGCAGGGAAGTCACTGGTGAACGCGTGGAAGAGGGTTTGTTGGATGCTTTCTAGGTTCCAGGCACTGTTCTAGACGCTGAGCAAGGAGCCTGTCGCAAAGCAGAGTCATGTCCGCCTCCCCAGACCCCCCGCCCCGCAACAGAGCTCACATTGTGGCCGGGGAAGGCAGACAAGTAAACTGGTAAATATATGGCATTTCTCATGGAGAAAAGGCAGAGTACTTAGGAGAGATGGCTTCTGTTTTATATGGCGGTAAAGAAAGGCCCTTCCGAGGGGTGGGTCCCCTGAGGATGTCTGTGGGGAGGTGTTCACAGGGGCAGGGTGGGCGCTGGGGCTGGGCTTCTATTCCCAAAACACAGTAACCCGCCAGCAAACGTGCCCTTCATCTCTTCCATCCCTGTCCCACAGTAACTGGGCTTCAGTCCTTGGTCTCCCTCTCCGAGATGCTCCCAAATCCTCCCGAACGCCAATCCACCTTCCAGAATCTTCTCTCACCCAACCCCCCATCACGCATCTATGCATTTCTTCCTTAGACAGTTCTGTGCCCTACCTGCCATGACCCACCTGCTCTCCTGTGCCCAGATCCATGGACCAAAAACTCTGAGGACGAAAGCCATGGACCTCCAGGGACGACGAGAAAGGCTGTCGACAGTCATGTTGTGTTTACAAACATATTTTTTGCGCTCTTTACAAAGGTCTGACACTCCGAGATTGAGACAGTCACCCACTTCGGGGACATTTAAATAACATTTAAAGCTTTATTCCATATGGAAATTATTTCTGTGTAAGGAATGACTAAGGTGCCAAATGGCTAGCTAGCTGTCCTATCGTTGGCTTTATATTCCTAAAATTCACCCTTTAAAGTGGAGTCTTCCCATCTGGGTTAAAAGCAGATTTGGGAGTTAGACCACCTGAGTTCAAATCTTGGTTCTGCCACTTATGAGCTGTGTGGTCTTTGCTCAATGACTCACCCTCTCTGAGGCTCAGTTTCCATTTTGATGAAAACAGTAAAAATACTACTTCATAGAGCTTTTATAAAGATTAAAACAATCATCACATATGATGCAATTAGACTGCACACAGTGGCAGGTATAATTATGTATGATTATTAGGTATAATGTTTTTAGTATTATAATTACTGCCAATGATTACGGAGCACAGTTGAGTAACATGAAACAAAATCCTTCTTAAGGTTCTGCCTTGCTGACTTGCAAGATTTCTGCTTTAAAAAAAAACACTTTAATTTCATTATTTGTAGTTTATAAACTCACGGACATACATTTGCCTTTCGTCACCTCTAAAGCAAGCTCATCCTAAATCAAGCTGAGAAAACATCTTTCGAGGATAAGGATTCACTGTTCTGGAAGCTTCTACTGTCACATGGCCACTTAAGACTAACGTGAACACTTTAGACTCTGTGGGCCACGTGATCTCTGCAGAAACAAATGGGCCTGTTTCGATGACACTTTATTTACAGACACAGGTGGCAGGCCGGATTTTGTCCTCAGGCTATAGTTTGCTGACCACTGTATTAGGGGAAGAAGCAGAAAAGTGGGTTATGGTTTTGGTCGAGGTCACTGACCCTGATCGTCAAGGGCAAGCCGGCTCGTGAAAACCCCAGAACACCAGAGACACGTCTTGAATCAACATGCCACTGGGCCAGTCGACCAGGGTAAATACTGAGGGACGGTAGCCACTCCACACGAGCAGACCCTGCAAGAGAGGAAATCCTTCCAGAACAAAGCTTCGGCCCTGCTCCCTGGGCACGGGAGGCCGCCAGCCTCGGTAGCTGCTGGTCTCAAGACTAGGCATGGCACCTGGCACCGTGCCTGCCACCCGCATCCCCGTTCTCACTCTCGGAGTGTCTGAGGCTGAACTGTCTCCTTTTCCTTTCTTATTTCTCCTTTGAAAACAGTCGTGCTCACAAGTCCCCGCTCCTCTCCTTCCTTCTCCCTAATAACAGCTGATGGTTTTATCGAGCTTGCGTATGCATCGGAGCAGGCCTGGCTCCCTCCCTTCCTGAACTCCATAAATGGCCCCAAATCCTTCCAAAAGATTATCATCTTCATCGTAAAAACGGTCATGTGAAAGTAAAGGACAGGGACCACAAACGAATTCGGAAATATGCCCCTCACAGAAATCCGGTTCTAAGGTTTCCAGCAGGCAATGCGGACAGGAAACACCGGGCCATTTTGTCATCGGTGTCCCCTATAGACGAAACAACCCAGCTGCTCAGAAGTCCAGCTTTCCTTGATGATGAGATTTCTCCCGGGGGCTGGTGTAACGACAGTGTGTTCACGACCCCTTCCGACGGACACGGCGGCTGAAGGCCCTCCGCACAGGCCGACGGCACCGCTCCCAAGGTCAACCTTGTGAAACTGGCTCTGGGGCAGCAGGGAGTAATACCGAGTCTGGGCACCTTGATCCGGGAACAGACTGAGGCAGAGCAGAAAGACTGTGTGCCCTCCACTCACGCCTGGAGAGTCAGGTGGCAGGGGCCCAAGGGGCCTCCCGGTGATGGCCCCGCCTTCGCACCTCACCGACGACAGGGCTGGGCTAGTCGGTTTCTACTCGGGGCAAGTCGAGGACCCGGGCTGGCTGGTTCAAGGGTGACGGCACAGGCAGCTGTTCTGGGCCAGGCCCACGCTGGTCTGACCAGCAGCCGGCCACTCCGGGGTCCTCCTGAGCCCAGCCCATGGCTGCCTCCACAGATGGCAGAGAAGAACCTTAACCAGCAGCCCACCCCATGGCACCCGACCATGACAGACCGCTGAAACAGGCTATGTTCTAGCCAAGGACATTGAAGGGCCCTTTAAAACGCCGAACTGAAGAAGGCAGCGTGGGCTCCTGCTGCCCGTTCTCGGTACCCACATCCCTCCCGAAGGCCGCCTCAGGCCGCCCCTTCACAAACAGCCCTGGTAGGCTGGCCACCTGACACCAGTATCCCCTACGGCCCAGCCCGGGACAGGAACTGGGTCTGGGCTTCTCCTAAGACCTGTGTGCCAGGGTGAAAAGTGTTCTCCCCGAATTCATGTCTTCTTAGCAACCTCGGAGTGTGTGTGTGACCCTACTCGGAAATAGGGTCGTTGCAAACGTAATTCACTGAGATGACGCTGGAGTAGGGTGGGCCCTCAATCCAATTTGACCGGTGTCCTTACGTGAACATGAAGACCACCACGTGACGACCGAGGCGGAGACCAAAGCGATGCTTCTACAAGCCAAGGGCCCCCCAGGATGGCCAGCCACACCAGAAGCCAACAAAAGCACGGGACAGACACTTCTCTAGATTCTTCAGAGGGAGCACGATCCTCCGGACACCTGGATTGTGGACTTCCGGTCTCTAAAACTGTGAGAGAGTGAGTTTCTGCTGTTTAAGCCACCCGCTTTGGGGTACTTTGTTATGGCCACCCAGAAAACGAACAGCCTTGACCCATCGTAGCCAACGCACGCGTGATGCTACCTCTGAAGAAACAGGACACTCAGATGCAGGCGATGATGGAATATTGGAGCATGTCAGGGTCCCCGTCACGGAAGCTGGGATGCTCCCTAGAACATTGGAACGTCAGTGCTGGGACACACCTGTCCCCTCAGGCTTCACAGGTATAGTTCTCAACTCCATGTCACCTGGTCACGTCAGCCATGACAGCTACTTTGTCATACGACATTTATGCATTTACACTTAGGTCCACTCATGGTGGGGGGTGACTTTAGGGGTACTAGGAACAATACCCCACACCACCATAAAAAAATTAAAGAAAAGAGAGAAGAGAGACACCCCTACCCTTTCCTTCTAAGTCACAGAGGCTGAGACTGCTTTCTGTGGCCTGGCCTCGTGGGTCACCTCCTGCACTGACCTGCAGGTCTCGACGCCAGTGCAGCCTGGACATAAAAGCAGACCCCGCTCCCCAACTCCCGACGCCCACGAGCAAGGCTGTTCTCTAAGTCACCGTCTCCCTGAATAAAAACTTTCTACGCTGTCAGAGCTGAGGAGAGCAGAGAGATGCACCCAGACACAGGAGAGGAGAAAGCGAACTCCCCCCGCTTCAGAGTCCGCCTGGTAAATGTCCAACTAGGACCAGTGGCGCTCAGCTGAGAGTATTTTACACTTAGATCACGAATACCCACGAGCCTAAAGAACTCTGCCTGAAACACGCATTTCCTTCCCGATTCTCCAGCTAATGAACCCCCGTTGCCCGGGGTCGATCTGCCAGAAACAGGTACAGTCAAGTCCCCCGACCCCAAACCACAGGCCCTGGGGCCAGGCCCGAGCGAGGGAAGGCGGGAGGCCCTGCCTCGGTAGCGGGGGCCTCCTCAGGGGCCGCAGCGCACCAGGTGGGTTAGTGCAGGCGGAATGTGACACATGGACAGGTGCGTTCCCGGGGGAGAGACGCAGACACGTGCACCCAGCACCAGGTCGCGATCAGCCACCGGGCCAGCTCCGGCGCCCTTGCCGGTGGCACCGTGGCCAAGCGGCCACAGGGAAGGTCCTCAGCAGCCCGGCACCCACCTGCAACGAGAGTGTCAGTGTCTTACTTTTTCTGGAGCGGGAGAAGAAGCGGATGCCCCCGGGCGAGGTAGACGCGTTGGAGGTGGGGGACGACTCTTTGGACGACGAGCGGAAGATCCCACTGAAGCTCATGCGGCGAGGGGACCGGGGTGGGGACTCCTGGTAGGAGAACGGGAACACGGTTTTGGGGGAGCCGGGGCTGGTCTTGGGCCTCACGGGAGCAGACACGGGGCTGGAGGGCCGGTGCTGGGGGCCTCTGGAGAAGAATCCTTTGGAGGGGCTGCCCGAGCCGAAGGGGCTGTCCACCTGCAGAGACAGGCAAACGGATGGGGTCACTCAGACCTCTGCCCTGTCCCACAGCCATCGCTATCGTTCGTGTCTCTTCCAAGGTCCTCTGTCACCGAGCGGCTCCTCTTAGGAACCCTGCCTGAGAAACAGCCCCGAGCTCGTCTACAGACAGAAGTGGCCACCTGTGGTCTGGGGAAGGCACGTGCCTCAAGGACGGACCATCCGCTGACCTCCGTCCAGCAATCTAGAGGGGCTTCCTAGAGGTGGAGGGGAGGCCAGGAAGGGCAGCAGACATGGCTCAAAACGACGCGCCCTCCCCCTTGTGATCCGTCTGCGGGTCTGCTTCCTGGCACCTACTTCTCAAGACGTCATGCCTGTCCCTCCCAAGGAGGAACTACGCTCTCCTGCGCCTCTTCAAAGGGGGCACACGGATCTCTGCCATCTGGACAGTGGGCCTGGGGCTCCACCGCGGGGCCTGGTGCCAGGAAGGGGTGCATTTTCAGCCCCACGCTGCTTTGGCACCGGAACATTGAGGTGCTGATGGGTCAGGAAGAACGTGAACGAGGCCGAAAGCCTCTGAGGCTCGCTTCATCGATGACCTGTCCCAGGCTCATGGGACAAGGATGAGGCCACACACCGAACCCCTGGTGACCACAGCTGTGCCGAGAAGGCAGGTGTGCCCGGAGGCGGCTTCCGTGCCCACTCTGGCCTCTGTCCACGTCGGGTGCCTGCCTGGACCCAGGACCCCTACAAGCTCCTCCACCACCAGAGGGCGCCCCCAAACCGGGCTTGCGTGTCCTAAAAGGTTGGGATACCACCTTCAGTGACCCTCAAACGCAAGTCCACCTCTCCCTGGACCCCACGCCAAACCCTCGCCTGAGCAAGCAGGCTCCTGAGACAGTGAGGCCATGCCCTATAAGAACCAGATAACTCAAAGTTGCCACCTTGCAGAGAATCTCAAGTTTTCCTTTTTCTAGCCATTTAATACGAAAAGTGTTCAGATTCTCTGTCTCTAGAGTATTCAGCTGAGTCACTATCCCACCCACCTGAGGGACCCGGGCTTTCTGAAGCTTTTTCAAATCTTTAGAAGGTCTTCGAAGGGGTGCGGGGGTGGCGTGTGCCTGTGGACACGGGGCACTCTGGGAAGAGCACACACAGGATGCCACCCGACAGCAGGGAGACAGACTGGAGCGGGAATCCTGGCTCCGTTTCTAGCACTGTGCCAAGCGACGTAAGCTGCCTGTTCTCATCTGCCCAACGAGGACATGCATCCTCTTGTGGGGTCGTGAAGATGAAGCAGTTCTTGGCACGTAGAATGTGCCTCACACCTACTTGATCAGCCCTCGGCATTGTCCTAACAGGTCCTTGGTGTTTGTGGTCAGTTGGGGCAGGGACAAAGGAGGGAAAGATGCCACATATCGGGTAGGAGCCTCGTTTGGGATCGTCTAGGATAGTTCTTTAGCGAGGGAATGGCACGGTCAGCTGTGTTTAGGGTACACCATTCTCGTCACCGCTAACCCTCACTCACTGAGTGCCACCGAGCCCGAAGCTGGGAGAGGTGCTGGCTGGAGGCAGAGCGAAGGTCACGGAGCTGGTCATTGGTGGAGAGGGACCTCAGGGCCCACGGCCTTAACCCTCATACCACATGCCACTGAACGCAGCAGTCACAGCTGGGAGGGGGAGCTGCCAGAGACAGGGCCAAGGTCAAGTTCGAGGGCAGAGGGAGAGTCCTGTGCAGGAACTGCTGGCAAGGCTGACCCCAGAGACGTCGTCCACGCTCACTGGGCTTGGGGAGGAGGGAGCGCCTCTGAGCAAAGGCTGACGGTCGGGTCTCTGAAAGAGGGTAGGGTCCCTGCGAGGTCAGGGAGGAGGGCAGGCCAGACCAGCTGCCGTGAGAATGAGCAGGTGGAGAATGTCTCCGGGGGCGTGAACCACGGCATGTCACGGGGTCTTGGACCAGAGAAGGTGCCGAAAGCTAAGGGCTCTGGACGGGCCAATGGGCGGAGGTGTCCCAGAGCTGGACAGGAGATTCAGTGGACAGCACAGACTGAGAGCATCCACTCAGGCCACCATGGGCAGGTCACGGGGGAAGCTGGGCTATCACCACCGAAAGCCAGCCACAAACAGCCTTGGGGACCAGCGTGAACCTTATTTGATGGGTGGGGGTTTCCACTGTACTCAGAATTCCAGGCCCACAGTCAGGGGCTCAGCCATTGAGCCAGAGCGGGGAGACCTGGAAAGGGCCCCCTTTCCTAAAAACGGCAGAACGGTAGGCGTGGCTGGGCTCAGCCTTCTCCCACGGGTCCGTAGGACCTGACCACGCTCCCCGACAGTGAGAGGTGAGAGGGCCTCACACGGCCACTCTGTTCCCTGCAGGACAATGGCGCCCACTGAAGCCACCAGAGACAGGGCCGCAGCTCGTGCCCTTGGGCAAGCCGCGATAAAATACTTTGATAAACGTAACTGCACGCGTCCTGGGTTTGGATCAGAAGACAGGCCCAGAAACCCCCCGTGAGCCCCTGGCTCTGGGGGCTCATGAGTGGGCACACGGGCCACCTGCTGGGCAGAGCTCCAAGGACAGGGCCGTCTGTCACACGGCTATGGGGGCAGCGCCTGAGGCAAGGCCGGGCCGCCTGGCGCCCCCTCTTGGCTGTTCCCCAAGTTGCAAGAAAGGGAAGAAGAGCAGCAGGTGTGTGAGAGCGAGGAGCCCGGGGGGCTGGCCTCACAAGTGACCGACGGTGTGTCTCGGGAGCTTGAGGTTGATGGACAGGTGTGGGGGTCATGGGTAAGGAGACCAGGAAGCGGAGCTGGGTATGCTCAAGGTGAGGGCCGGGGCTAGGGACATCTGCCCCTGGCATCCGACTCACGCCGGGGGTGGGGGAGGGGCCGAGGTACGGAGGCTGCAGGGAGCGTCCAGCGAGCCGATGGTGAGCAGCTCCGGGCTGAGACCCATGTGGTTCAGGATCCGGGAGGCACCGTGCCCAGAGCCAGCACGGACGGAAGTCCCCCCGTCGTGTCTGAGGCCCGGCCAGACGCAGCGTTCCCTACGGGAGGCCGACGGGAGGTGGTCGCCCCTCTTCACGGTGCTCTGCAGCGGGTATGACATCCCGATGTCACGCCTGCCACCCAGACCTGCCCTGGGCACTTGCCGCGGGCCAGGCACCGTGCTACGTCTGCTGCCCAGACGAGGTCATTCGCCTCTCATGGGAAGCGGTGAGCACGGGCTTGACACAGAGCTGAGCTGCCAGGAAAGCTGAGCAAAGCAGCCGGGCTCCTAGTCCCAGGACTGAGGGACACAGACAGGAACACTGACCGCAGTGCCGTTGCGTGACCCCGGAGACGCTGGCTTGGGAGCCGCACACCAGAGCCATGTAGGGTCGAGGTGACCAGAAGCTCCTGCATGGAGCCATGTCACGTGACAAAGAGCTGCCACCTCTGGGGGCAGGGGCACAGAGCGAGGGGACGGGAGGAGACCTGGGAGAGCTGTGTCGACTGACTGAGGTTGGTGTCCTTGGGGGCTCAGATGAGGCCCAGCCACCTAAGTGGAAGAGGGTTCGTAGAAAGCAGGGGGCGCCACCAAGTGTCCGGCCCACGTTCAGCCCGGCGGCCAGCGAGGATTTCCAGCCACCACGGCTGAAGAGGGAAAGCTCCCTGCGGAAATGGGGGTCTCGGTCACAGGTACAAAGACGCAGTGACGAACCAGAAGGGCAGGAAGCACCGATGTGGCATCTGCCCAGCTGAGGACACGTCCCTGCATGGCCTCTCTCGCTGGCCCAGTTTGGGCTGTCTGGATGCAGTGCAAAGTATACTGGGCTGAGCATCAGGCAACCTGGACTGGACCCGGCTCGACTGCTAAGCAGCCGCGTGACTATGGGCAGGTCCTTCCCGTTCTGAGGTCCGGGTCCTTTATTTTAAGAACGAGTCTATGTGCCGCACGGAAGCCCGGCACGTCTGCACGAGCCTAGCAAGGAATCCAGGAACGATGGAGACCGACGCTTCCCGCTGACCTGGTGGGACAGGGTCCGTGGAGTTAGCGTTGAGTTAGTTTCAGGGAAAGTGAGAGACGTGGTCACGTCTTTTATCTCCGAGTTCACGGCTGCGAGTCCACACCCACCCACACTTACTTCAGCGGAAACGGCCCGAGGCCCTCCGCTGGGGACTGTGCTGCACCCACCGAGGCTCCGGGGGGCAGAGGCCGCTGCACCGTCCACTGCTCTGCTCTGCTCCCGGCTGTCCCCGCTCCTCAGAGACCTCAGTGGCTCCTGCAGGGTCCCCTCCTTACCCTCCTCTCCTCCCCCTCCTCTCCATGTCAGGCGCCTGGCAGCGTCTCCTGCCTCCCGCCCTCGGAAAGGGCCAGACATCTGCAGAGTCCGCACTGTGCTCTCCGCACCGGGGTGTCTGCATCTTGAACTGGATCACTAAGATGAAGGGGTGCGATCTGGCCGGCGAAGAAGCAGGCCCTTCCACGGCAGTCTGGAAAGCCCTGGCTGCACCACTATCGACAAGGTGGCCTTGTGTCAATGTAACTAGAGGTTACTGGAGTCTAGCTGCCAAGTTCGAGTCAGGAGGAGGCCATGCCTGTCCTCTAGGGATGGGGCAGGGGCAGACACGGGGGGAACCAAGGAAAGATTCGGGCAAGAGTCAGCCAGACCCCAGGCCCGCTCCACCCCCCACTCCACGTCTCATCGACGCAGCTTTCATCTGAGGGCCTGTCTCCAGGCCGCATCAGGAGGGCACGAGACGTAGGGAACAGATGTAGGGTGGACCTGCAGGTGGATATGCAGGTGGGAGCAGAGATGGATGTAAAGGTGGGAGCGCAGGTGGATATGCAGATGGGTACGCAGGTGGATGTGCAGGTGGGAGCAGAGGTGGATGTGCAGGTGGATGTGCAGGTGGGAGTGCAGGTGGATGTGCAGGTGGGAGCACAGGTGGATGTGCAGGTGGGAGCGCAGGTGGATGTGCAGGTGGGAGCAGAGGTAGATGTGCAGGTGGGAGCAGAGGTGGATGTGCAGGTGGATGTGCAGGTGGGAGTGCAGGTGGATGTGCAGGTGGGAGCACAGGTGGATGTGCAGGTGGGAGCGCAGGTGGATGTGCAGGTGGGAGCAGAGGTAGATGTGCAGGTGGGAGCAGAGGTGGATGTGCAGGTGGGAGCGCAGGTGAAATGCAGGTGGGAATGCAAGTGGACGGGCAGGTGGGAGCAGAGGTGGAAGTGTGTCCTGGACTGTCGCTGAGGGAGTCCTGCCTCGGTGGCACCTCGAGTGAGCTGTGACATGTGGCCTTACCTTACGAGAGGAATGCTTTTCTGAACTCTCCAGATCTCCATCCAGGAGGGGCATGGCGAAGGAACTCAGGTCCTAGGGCGGAAACGGAGCACGCGGTCAATGACAGTGGCCTTCAGGTGCCCATCTGCTTGTTTAGGGGCTGCGTGTGGCTCTGTGTGTGTGTCACCACCCCTTCCTGAGTCCTCCTAGAACATTGCCCATTAGGGAGGGACACGGACGGCATACTGGTCGAGGAGGGGATGACGACATACTAGCCCCCCTCAGTGTCCTGAGCACCCCGCTGTTCTGCCCCTTTCGCCCAGCTCTCTCGGGCCACCTGTCACCCAGGCCTTTCAGCCTCCCGTGTTTCAGGCCTTCTCCAAGCCTCTGCTCGAGGGGTGACCCCGGAGAACGTGAGCACCACGACGTGTGCCCCTCCCATCAAAGCCCAGGGACTTCGCCGTGGCCTGGCCATGGTCCACCAGAACACGCTGGTTCTCATGTGTGCGGAGATCAGACCCAGCCTCTCATGTGTTGGCTTATTTCTATGTCTTGAGCCTGGCTGCACCTCGGCATCTCCTGAGGGGCTTGGGTCCTGCCGGGGACACTAGCTAATTGTTCCACAGTGCCAGGCAGGCCTCATGGTCATTCGGCCACTGGCCCAGGGGGAGAGCCGCCGGCTTCCCACCAGTGACTGTTGGCTGAGTCGCTGTCGGGAGCTCTCTGCCAGCCCCGCGGACTTACTGACCTCGGCTGCCTTATCTCTAAGGTGCCCTGCACCCCGTCGCCTTTTAGCGACAGCCCAGGCAGACCCTTCGTGGCTTTTCCAAACATGGCTGTGTGTTTGTGGCTATTCCGTCTGGAACGCCATCTGAACTGCTCAGACGCCTCAGTTCAAGGCCACTCTGCCGGCTCCCAGAACTGCCCCTCCAGGACAGGCCCAGCCTCTGGCGAGGAGCCTGGCCTCAGTCGCAGGTGCTCACTGCCATTCCCCAGACGCGCCCAGCCCTTTCCTCCGGTGGTCTGTGCTTTCCTGGCCCCCTCCCCGAGCCCCCAAATCCTGGTTCACAGAGTGAACTCCTACGTGTCACACAAAGCCCAACTCAAGCATTACCTCCGGCTGGGGGCCCCTGTCGGACAGAATCGATGCTCGTATCCATTCTGACAATACTTCAGACGACCCTTTATTACGGGGCGACCATGCCACAAGCCACCCTTCCTCAGTCTGCTTCTCTAAGGGACCTCTGACTCCACCCAGGGCGGGAGGAGCCCCCCGTCTCTCTCCCCCTGGCCTCACATTCGCCCCGCACGCAGCTGCGGTGCACCCGAGTCTGGCTTAACTCCTGGGCAGGGAAGGCAGCCCCTTACCCAGCCCGAGCTTCCGCGGGCTGACGGGCCAGGGGACGGGCAGGCCCCATGCAGCGGCAGCCCCCGGGGGAGCGGGAGCAACCAGGTGTGGGAGGGAGATGCTTATCTCCCGTTCCGTCGAGAACACTCCACATAACCATTCCCCGCGGACGTCTGCTCAGCCCAGCGGTTTCCGCGTCAGCGCCTCTGCCCGAACGCCGGCTCGCTCCTCCCCGAACGGCCCTGAGAACCACCACGCTCCCGCGGCGGGGCCCCGGCGGCTCCGAGACTCGTGTCGACCGTCTTGAAAGAGCCGAGCCGGGACGCTGGGCCCGCTCCTGTCACAGGCCACCTGTGGGGGCCCCAGCAGCTGCTTCCGGCCAGAGTGAGTGGACGAAAGCATCAAACTGACTGACCGCTGCTGCGCGCCCAGGCCCTGGCGCTGTCTGCTCCGTCACGCACGGCGGGCTCCACTGCGAAGCTCCCCCAGCCCACATCCCATGATCCTCATCTCCCGGCGCTCACCAGGAAACAGAGAGCTGCTCGGAGGCCTTGAGGGAACATCTCCAACTGCAACCGTCGCCACGGGACCGGGAACGGGGACGTGGCCTCGGCCCGCTGACATTCCAGAAGGCCCGGGCCTGGTAACTCGCCCCGTTCCTGTGATTTCTAAACTTCACCCTCCCCCCGGAGCGTCGCGATCTCCTTACCCTTTTATCTCCTTCTTGCCCCATCCCCGTTCCTCCCTGTCCCTTCGGCCAGCCAGGCAGGACCTCCCCGGGCGCTGGGTGGGCCAGGCTGACGCACCGAGAGACGCTTCAGACGTGGTTTCTGCCGAGAAACAGCCTCACGCTCTGGGCTCGTCGTCAGCCGCACGCGCTACGCTGCAGACCTCGGCTACGTGCTCTGGGGGAGCATCACAGGCTTTGGGGGAAGCAAATGTCAAGATCTGGGCTAAGTCGCCCGTCAAGAGCATCAGGATAAAAGAGAAAAGCCCCAGGTTTGAGAAGATTTCTCGAGATGCGAGTCGACTTTAAAAGCAGCTCATTCAACCCCCATCCCTCCCCGTCTTCAGAAATCCAGTCAAAAGGCAAAAAAAGTAAGGTGTCAATAGCACGGCTGCCATTCATCTGCCATTGGTCTGTGCCTCCTAAATCTTCCCACGGTCACCTCATCTGGCCCTTAGAACGGCCCACATAAGGAGGAAAGGCGAGCGGCATCATCCCAGTCTACAGACGAAGACACCGAGGGTCAGAGAGGTTAAGCCTCTTGTGAAGACGAGGCGGTGGCAGGCAGGGCCTGTAACCCAGGCCCGCCCACTCCCAGCCCAGAGCTCTTTCTGTCAAACTCCACCATCTCCTTGGGGTGACTCGGCACCAGTAACAACAGCCAAGCTGGTATCAGAAGCTGTGACAATGGAGAGCGCTCCCGTGACAAGCGAGCATCCTGGGCACAGCGACACCTCAGAGAGGGAAGGGTGGGTGGAGATGAGTATAACTCAGTGATTCATTCCCGAGGTGGCCGACGACACGGTTTTCTCTTCAAGGTCTACTTCTCAATTAGAAGTAATTCAGACGCTGATGCTTCAGAGAACAGAAGGCGCCCCGCACCCCACCACCCAACGCGACTGCTCCGCACTCCAGCACGTCCTCACTTCGCAGAGCTCGGGGTGCCGTCCCCACCCCCTGCCACGTATGCCGACACCTCTCCGTAAGGTAACAGACGTTATGCTGCTCCCAGCCAACTCGCCGGTGAGCTCCCGCCGCACGGCGGCTGCCCACGCGTGTCCCAGCCTCGATGGAAGGTGCTAGAGCGTGCCGGCCAGACACGCCTCTGCCCGCTCAGCATGCCCGAGGCTCTGTTGTTGCAGCTGGGCTGCCCCAGAAAGAGCTCTGACAAAAGGCCAAGTACGGGACAAACAGAAAGGCTGCCAATGTCAGGGCCCCACGGCCGGCACCTGAGGGCCACCCACGGGGTCTGAACGTCAGGGTCACGATGGAACATTCCTGTGAAGTTTCCAGCGGTTTGACTCCCACTGAGGAAGGGACACTTCTGGCAAGGCTTTCATCCTCCGCTCCCGCCGGGCAGGCCCAAGGGCAGCAAGCACCAGCAACGTCTGAGGCTACCCGGCCGTGCGACAGCTAATGAGGGTCCCGCCTGGCCCTATACAAGTCCTGCGTCCCTCCGTGTGGATGAGCCTGGCCAGTTCGCAGAGGTGGAGCCAGGGGGCCGAGCTGCAGCCTCAGCGCTGCTGGTTGCTGCCTGGGGGCCCTGGGCTCATCTGAACTCAGTGTCCTAACTGTCCAGTGAAAGGGCTTCACTGGGTGATTCTGGAAGATGCCTTTCGGCTCACACATCCTCTGCTTTCATCCGCTGAACTAACCAGCAGGTGGGATCTGGAGCATTTTAAAGGAGCACCGGTCCCTGAGGATAAACGCATCTCCTCCTCCTCTACGACGAGTCACGAAAATCACTTCCTCCTGCTCGCAAACCACCAAACCTTCTCCACTGCCCTCGAAGCTCAGGGCCTTCGGGCGGAGGCTCCATGACCGTGGGCGATGCCAGCGGAGGGATGAGGGTGTGCCTTTCACGTCCCCGGTGGCGCTTCACAGGGGAGGCGTCATGACCCAGCTGCCCTCCTGGCTTTCTACCTCACGGTGTCTTGACCTGCTTCTTACGTGCTAATCCTCTGGTTTCTCGATGGATCTCGAAGGACCCTCAGTCTCAAGTACGTGGGTTGTCAGGGCAAATGCACTGTCACTCGGGTTTGTGCGGCCCGCCCATCTTCCGGACTCTTCCTCGCTGTCACTAACGGGGGCAGCTGGCTCGCACCAGTTAGCCTCACCCGGGGCCAACCTGTGGGTACTGTGGCTTGAAGTTCACCTCTGCTGCAGGCCTCGGTGAGCCCCTCGGGCGGGAGGCACACGTGAGGTGTCTCCAGATGGCCTGGCTCCGCACAAAACCTCAAAACTGCCAAATGGGCAATTCCTGGTGTCGCTGTGGGGGGTGGTGACCGAGCCACGGGCAATTGGAGCCTTCGAAAAACATTCGTGTTATATAACCACTCTCAGAAAAAAGCAGGAACAGACTCTGAATCACTGGAACGCGGCAGCAGGGGAGGGACAAGGGCCAAATTAGGGAAAGCCTAAACTTAACTCTTGGAGAGGTTCCAGAATCCTGTTTTCCACAGAGGACGTCATGGTTTGTGACTGTGGGCTGAGAGGCTTCCCGGCGTAAATAAAAAGAGGGAAACCACTATTTTTCACTCCTGTGGCCACCTCTCACTTTCCCTCCACCTGGTGGTCCCGATTAATTCACGCAGCCGGCTCGGGGCCCCCCTCCCCGTGCGGCACCCCCACACACACCGCTGCCCCTAACTCCTCACCCAGGGGCTCCGCATTAGGCATTCAACTCTTCTCTCAAAGCCAAGAGCCACAGAGTCAGACTCGAGTGGACAAGAGGCCTCCACTGTGTCCTCGCTCGCGCGTGTGCGGCCACCTTCGCCTCCCAACCCTCAGGTTTCCAATCTGTAAAACGAGGCTTGGTGCCTTGGATGATACGGACCAAGGCCCTCCCCACAGTGTGAGTCCTCACACAGTGTTGGGGATCGTGAGGGGCCACTGGCCGAGGACACATTCATCCTCACCGATCATGGCGGTAGAGAGGGCACAGGACGTCACCCAGGGCACCGACCCTGACACCTAGGTCAAAGGCTCATGCTCAACCCAGGCCTGACATCAAGGTGA